GCAGCCTCCAGCTCGACGGAGTCTACCAGGCCCATATGGCGGTGTGTTGTTTTTTGTTGGGCCTTGCCGGGGTTTAGGGATGTTTAAGATTCTGGGCTTTGGAGTACCATACTTTAATACTTTTTTTGGGACCTGTTCCTTAAAGGAACCATTATGAAATAAAAGTCTATACTTTTTTCTCCCTGGTTACTTCAAAGCCCAGGATTTATTGGGGTTTCGTGGGTTTCGGGCTTCTATAAGGTTAAAAAGGAATTTCGGGCGTGAACATACAGCGATGGCCGTGCGGTCGCCTTTTCACTGTCTTGAAACCCATTGCCGAAACAGGATTCGGAAATGAAGGGTCCAACAGCACTCCACATGACACACCTTATCGTTTCTGTGTGTGATGTCCCCAGCCTGCTAGCGGGGTTAGATCGGTGCAGCGCTTCGTGGCGCTGTATAGCTACTGTAGTTTCAACCTACACCATGCAAGCCCCAGCTCTACAGTGTGTGACTCTGTCAGGTGAAGGATCAGGAGGAGGTGGTCGTGGAGGGGCCTTCGTGCCGGGTGATGGGCAGTGGGAGCCTGAGAGGGCGGGGACGGAGTTCAAGCTGTGGCCATCCTGCTTTCGAGGTGCCCAGCTGCTCCTCTCGACCCCCGTGCGTTTCCAGGGCAACGCGGTCTTCGCAGGCCAGCTGAGCGTAAAGGCCGTCGGCGACGGCAAGATGCAGAGCTCGTGCATCACCGTCAACGGCAACTTTACATTACAGCCCGAAGCACACCTCAGCCTTCACGGCTGCAAGAATCAAGCTGAAGGCAAGTCCATGGACGGAGGCTGCCTCCACGTGGGCGGCGATGCCGAACTTCGGGGCGGCCACTTGCAGCTGAATGGATGCACAGCAAGCAAGGGGGAGGGAGGCGGTATCGTTGTCGGAGGCCGGATTCCGGCATTTGCTGCTTTGCCCTATATAGAAAGACGCCGTCTTTGCACGCGTGCGCATGGAGGGCTCTCAGACGCCTGCTGCTGTTTCTGTGCAGCCGTGACTGTTGCAGGTGCGCTGCAAAGTCGGACAGCGACTATCGATGCAGAAGGATGTCATGCACGGTATGGAGGTGGGGGGGGGAGGGATAGCCACACCATTGAATTTGTTCCTAGAGTGG